CCCGGAGCGTGGCGAGTGGGGGCGGCGGGTGGCCTGCCTGCTGGGGCCTCTGGGACGTGGACGCCCCTGGGTGACAGTCAACCGGCGGAGGTCGCTACTGCCCTAGACCCTCAGCCTTCAGGACAATGGGAGCCTCGCGGAGGCGCAGATGTCACAGGCCGGGAAGTTGACGTCCACTTCTCATAAATCCCGAGGCTGAGCGCCACGCCCCCTCCCTCCAGCGCCGGCTGCCGGAAATCGCCGGGGGCCAGGGCAGGGGCGACGGGAGTGGGTCCTCACCTCTCCCGTCCTTGTCCCTGCCCCACCCCGTCCTACGTGGTACGGGGCTGACAGGGCTCCGCAGCCCCCACAGCCCCCGAACCAGAGCTTAGCTTAGGGCAGAGGCCAGCCTGGCTAAGAAAACAAAGACTCCTGCTGGCCTTTGTGGGCACTTGTGGGCTGACCCCTGGGGGCCTCCCGGAGACCTCCCAGAAGAGGTGGAGGACTCTAGCAGGCAGGAAGGGGTCTGAGAAGAGAGGGAAGCATCAGTCCATGTAAACAGAAGTATGGAAGTGAAGTGCTTGCTCCTGGGAGGGTGGGGTGCCCAGCCCCTCTCTCCTCTTCTCCCTCCTGCCCCCAGCCCTCAGCCTCTACAGGCATATCAGCTTTTCCCTGCCCTCACTGCAGCCCTACCGCTGGCAGTTCTGTGGCCTGCCAGGGAGGGCCTCCATCTGTTGCTCTCTCCCACCCTTAGGGACCTCTGACGCGTGTAGAGGGCCCTTAACCTTTCCCAAAGCCATTTCACATCTAATTTCAGGAAACAGGACAGGCAAGGAAGGTTTTTTTTTTTTTTTTTTTTTTTTTTTTAAATCTCAGTCTGGTGGATGGAAAGCATGGGGCCTAGAGAGGAACAGTGGGTTAGTGAAGGTGGAGACTAGCCTGGAGCCCAGCCTGGACCTCCTGCCCACCAGCCCTGGGCTGCCCTCCACATGGGCTCTGAAGCAAGGCAGGTCTTGTCCGAGGCCCTGGAACCTAGCCCCTTCCCTTCCACACACATACCAGCTGCTCTCTCGGCAGGATATGGCCAGAAAATACTTAATGAAAGCTTAGGCGTGGGCCAGCCATGCATTGTAGCTGCACACTGGCCTGGAGGCCTGGCTGGGAACCAGGAGCCCTAGGAATGAGGCTGGGAGGGTGTGGGGATGGGAAGGGCGGGAGGATGACTGCCTGTTGAAGGATAAGTTGGTGCTGGGGCCGTGGCCCCCCCCCCCCCTCCTGGGCGATGGGAGAACCTGGCCCCCGTGGACTAACCTGGTTCTGAGTAGTGGGCTGAGATCCACTGATGGGCTGTCCTTGGCCAGAGAGGGTCCTGGGTATGGAACCCTGGGTAGGACAGTACGTCTGATCCACAGGGAGGAGGAAGTGAGGAGGAGCCAGCTGTTTAGTGACTCTGACGTACAAGGAGGAACTAGTAGTGGGAAATGTGGAAGTGGCTGGGGTGAGGAGGAGGGGAGGAGGGGAGAGGCTGACTGGTTAGGAGCATCGTTGTCACGGGGACAGGAATGAGGGTTAGGCAGGACAGGTCTACCTGGGGTCCCTGAGGGCAGGAGGCTTTGGGGTCTTGGAGGAAGCTGTGATGGGGCAGATGACGAGGGGTTCTGGGGTAGGATCCCAAGGTGAGGGCCCTGGATGTACAAGTTCTAGAGTGTCCAGGACTGAGACAGGGATAGCGCAGGGGACTCTGCCCAGGTGGGCTGCAGGGTCGAAGCTGCGTATGGAGCCAGCATTTCAGGCCACCTGGCCAGTGAGTGAATGCCAATCACCACAGATTAAGAGGAAGCTCCTAGTGTGGGTGGGTGGGACCCACATGAGTGGGGCTGGGCTGGGGGCCTGGCAGCCCAGAACCTATGGCCCAGAGGTGTCCCTATGCAAGGCTGGCACTGGGGGGGGCTTGGTGGGCATGGGCTCCACAGTGTGTGGCAAGCAGACCCCATGGGAAAGGGACAGGGAGAGACATGAAGTGACACGAGAGCAGGGCTCCAGGGCACACAGAAGGATGCAGGGGTTCCCCAGGAGCTGATGTCACACATCCAACACACGTCACACATTCAACCACAGTCTGATTTTTTGTTTGTTTTTTGTTAATCCTCACTAGAGGATATTTTTTCCATTGCTTTTTTTAGAGAGAGTGGAAGGGAGGGAGGGGGAGAGAGAGAGAGAGAGAGAGATGTCAATTGGTTGTCTCCTGCATGCACCCTGACAGGGGCTAGGGATTGAACCTGAAACCCAGTTACATGCCCTTGACCGGGAATCAAACCGGAGACTCTTCAGTGTGGGAGCTGACATTCTAACTACTGGACCACACCCACCAATGCGTTGTTCTTTTGCTTGTTTTTTTTTTCTCGTTTTTTTTTTTTTTTAAAGGAATGGATTTCTCTTTTTGATTGCGTTACTGTTCTGCTCAAGAGAACTCAGACACTGTGGGTTTGGGTTTCAGCAAAGCTCTGAACCAAGTCATGGAATTCCTGGGCAGACAAGGGGAGAGACCTTCTGTGTGTCAGGGGCAGTGCCAGACCCCACCAGACTGACTCTCATATCCCCAGTCACAGGGCACGGGCACCAGTGTGGCTGCAACCATATGTTTATTCAAAGCTGAACACGCAAGTGCAAATTTAACATAGGCAAATCTGTCAGTGGCCCAAGGTGGCCATGCTAAGATGTTCTGCTTGGCCAAGAAGCACCTGGGCCCCTCAGACCAGTCCTTGGGTCTGAAGAGCCCCTGGCATGGGGTGTGCTCACTGCAGACTCCTCACCTAGAAGCCAGAATACCTGCTAAATAATAAAGCAAAAATCATGGTGGGTCTGGGGGTGGGGTAGAGCGTGACCAAGGTGGGCTGGGGGGATGGACTCACAGAATCCTGGCCTGTAAGGAAGGGTCCCCTACATCTTGGGAGGTGGTGATGGGTCCCAGGGGACCCCGACTGGTTTAACCATGGCCAGAAACAGTGGAACACAGTGTCACAGCATCCCTGCTACCAGGGCTAGAGGTCAAGCTCTGGGCAGGGCCCAGGCCAGATCACAGCCTGAGATGGGGCTGAGAGACCCATGTGGCTCAGCCTGGCTGGGCCATGGGACTTTCTGGACCGAGGAGGCCTGAAGTGGCTGAGACATCATTTTAAGGGAGCCCAAGGGGACTAGGACCTCTGGTACTGCTGGTGGAGGGCAAGGGCAGTTTCCATGGGGGAATTTCTAGGGAAGCCTAGTCATTAGAAGCAGCTGAATAAGCAGGGGTGGGGAATGCAGTCATCGCTGTTGTGAGTGGGGAGGCCCCGAGACATCACTGCCACAAGTCACCGGCCGCTGCCCCGTTGTCATTCTCGTGGAACTTGTGCAGGTGATCGGCAAACCTGTGGGACACAGAAACCTTTGCTGTGGCTGAGTGTAAAAAGGAGAGAAGTGTGTGTGTGTGTGTGTGTGTGTGTGCGCGCGTGTGTGCGGTGGGTGGGAGGGGAAGGCATAGAAATCTCCAGGGTCGTGCACCATGTGATGGGGTGGGGGATGAGGGCAGCAGGCATATTGGGGGGCTGTGAGGTGAACCAGAGTGGGGGGCAATGGCGGAAGGCTGGGGGACAGGGAACAGAGGAGGAGCTCAGTGGTGCTGCTGAGTGTGGGGCCATGGAGGGGAAAGGGGGCTCAGGGCATCCTCACTTCTTGGCGCAGAAGGTGGTACAGTCCCTCTCCACGCTCTCGCTCCACGCCAGCTTGTAGAGAACCTGGCCAGGCGGAGACACCATGAGCTGCCTGTCCTGCCTCACAGGCACTCCTGCAGCCACCTCCAGCCCTGGGACAGTTCTCAGGGCCCAGACCCCAGGCTGTGGGCCTTAGAGATGCTTCTGTGCCTGCCTGTTTCCAAGATGGTCAGACAGGCCTGGACCTGGAAGCATCATCCCTAACATGCTGGGTGTACCACTGGCAAGGCTAGGTCCTGCTGGGCCCTGGGTCAGAGCGGACTTCAGATAGGGGCCACTGGACTGTGGCCTCACTGGGGGTGGGATCTGAGGCCGGAGCCCTCTGTGGGCACACCCCACATTCTCCTCTTCCCAGACACAGTGGACATGCAGGCATCACGAGGCCTCTGCGTGTGCTGTGCCACTAACAGGATGTCCCTTCTGTGTGCAGCCCACCTGGTTGACCCCTAGTAGAGTTAGTAAGACCCTCTTTCCTGCCTTCCTCAAACTCCCACAGCAGCCCTTCCCTTCACCAAGCTCGTCCAGGACTGGGCCCCGGATGGAGTCATCAGGCCTCTCCCCGAGGGCCCAGTGGGTGGGCTTGTCATCCCCAGGCTGGGCTGAGGCCCTTGAAAGGGAGAGAAGTGGCCAAGAGCAGATGGTGGGGCTTGGGGACGGCCGGGGTCCCTTCTGCCCTGGAGTGAAGGGAGCATGATGAAGGCAGCCCTGACCACCGCCTCGGCACCCACCAGGAAGACCAAGCAATGCAGGAACAGCGTGTAGAAGAAGCCGATGGTGCGCGCCATCTTGTTGGAGAGAACCAGCCGCCCCTGAAGAGAAAGCAAGGTGTGGAGGGGAGTGGGACAGGCCTCACCCACTCCTGCAGGGCTGCCCTGGCTCCTGCAGGGTAGGCCCCGGGGCAGCAAGGGGAGGGAAGGGCAGGCAGTTGGCTCCTGTGAGGGGCCTGTGAGGGGTCAGTGAGGTCCTGGAGGCCTCTCCAGACTGGATGGCAGGTGATGATGGCCCGTCCGGGTTGGTGTCTCTGGCGGCCCAGAGCAGGTGGGCACCCAGGAGGGGACTCACCATGCTGAGTGTAGCCTTGTCCCAGGGGCTCAGGCTCAGGTACTTCCGCTGCCGCTCCTGAAGTGGGAGGGATAATGAGAGGGCCCCAGAGGACCCCACCGGCCGAGCTCACTGCAGGAAGGGACCCTGCCCTGCTGTTCCTGCAGAATGCCAGGGGCCGCCCCGGTGCCCAGTCCTATTCTGTGTGATGCCCTCCCAGGGACAGCTGCCTCCTGCTCTCTGTGGTGGCCCATTCTGCCTATGGGAGTCTTTAAGGGCAGGACTTCTGTGGCCTGGGAGGTGGGGGAGGGAGTTACATAGATTGGGGGGCAGGGTATACTACAGGTCACCTGACACTGGGAGCTCTTTGCCTGTCTGCCTGCCCCCCACCCCCGAGTGTACACGTGGGGTTAATCCAGTCACTGTCACCCTCTCACAGAGCCACCAGGCAGGTGTTCTGGGTGCTTTGGGCCGACCCAGGATGGACCCTGGGCCTCCTTGGCACCCAAGTGGGCGTGCAGGGGGCCTGGTGGCTGGTGGAGGGGGAGTAAGGGAGGGCTGAGGCCAGGTGAGGGGTGGGTTCTCCAGACGTCCCTGCGCTGCCTGGCCCTGAGGCCAGGCTCACACACCCGCTTGCTGAAGGAGGAGAAGGGGTCCAGGCGCTCCTCGTACTGGGACGAGTACCGCTGCTCCGTGTCATCGCTGCCACCGCCCTGTGTGGGGAGAAAGGAGACCCCGTCATGGGGGCCCAACAGGAAGGCCTGGGCTGCGGGAAGCTGGCAGGGTCACAAGAAGCCTCAGCAGCCCAGCGAGGGTGGGGAGGGGGCCCACAGTGACGGTGAGAATGTGTTTGGTGCCACGTGACCCGGCGCTGCCCAGGGTCGGGGGTCTCCCATGAGCTCAGGGCCTCTGTGCCTCAGGGCAGGTACGGGGACCGAAGGCCCAGACAAGGGTTGGAATGTATAAGACAGACAGGGCTGGGCCCCATGCAAGGAGGTGGGTTTAGAAGGTGTTTGCTGGGAGTGTGTGGGGTGGCTGTGGGGAGCAGGCAGAAACCCCAGCCAGCCACCAGGTGTGTGTTCCCGGTTTGCACAGAGTCTGGGCGCCCTCTGGTGGCCTGAGAACAGCTCCAAGGTGGAATGGGTGGCTGGGGGCTGAGGGTCATGTCTCAGGGAGGCCCCCATCATAAGTGTCACCGCCCACTCTGCTTCTCCACAGTCACAGAAGGGTTTCCTCGCACGAGGTGGTCCAGCAGCAGCCCTCCTGGGCCCAGAACCAAGTGAATAGATTTCCACTCTGTTTTTTCTCTCTTTTTGTTAATCCTCACCTGAGGATATTTTTTCCATAGATTTTTAGAGAAAGTGGAAGGGCAGGAGGAGAGGGGACAGAGAAAGAATGAGACACACACACACACACACACACACACACACACACACATCGATTAGATGCCTCCTGCATACATACCAACCAGGCTGGGCGTTGAACCTGCAACCCAGGTATGTTCCCTTGACCAGACCCTTTGGTGCCGGGCTGACACCGTAACCACGTAGAACACTTGCCAGGGCCCGCTTTGGGCTCTGGATTGTTTTTTGGGGGATGTTGGGCCAAATTCTGGTATGGCTTTAAACAAATGTAAGTTTGTATTCCCTGCCTCTCGCTGTACCTCACCACCTCCTGGATGGATCTGATGCATGAGCCTCCACTAGGGCCCTGTGGGGGGCTCTCCCCAGCTGAGGGAGGACAGCTGGCAGGCAGAGGGGGCCAGACAGCCCAGTGCTGCCCAGCAGGCCACTGCCCCCGCCCTCCTGCCTCGGAGTGCCCGCACTGCCTGCGACACCTGGGGTTGAAACTGGGGAGGGCACTTACCCGGCCAGAGTAGTTCTGCAGGAACTTGATTTTCTCGAAGAGCTTGATGTTGTCGGCGCGCAGGCTGTCCAGCTCGCTCTGCAGGGCCTGGATGGTGTGCTGGGCCATGCGGTGCTCCTGTGGGCAGGCAGGTGGTGGGTGGGCAGCAGGGCCAGCCGGGGAAGGGGTGGCGGGAGAGGCCTCCAGGCTGGCACAGCTACTGCTCCGCTACCTGCAGCCTCTTCTTTGACCTACTAAGACCCTCCTCGGGCTCTGGGAAGTGCCCCCTTTCCTCCTGTGACCTTGCCTCAGGCAGAAGTCACAGTTCTTGGGTCAGGTCTCATCATGTTTTATTTGTTTATGGTATTATAGGCCTTTAAAAACTATCATTGAGACATAATTCATATAACATAAACATCACCCTTTTAAAGTTTACAATTCAGTTTTTTAAAAAATCTTCACAATTCTATCCCCACTAATTCCAGAGCATCTTATCACCCCAATAACCTGTCTGTAGTCACTCCCCATTCCCCTTTCCCCCTATCCCCCTGACAGCCACTAATCTACTTTCTGTGTCAATGGATGTGCCTATTCTGGACATTTCATGTAAATGGAATCCTATACTATGTGATTTTAATGTCTGCCAATCTAGGGGCAAGGTGAAATGGGACCTCATTTTTCAATTTTATTCAAATGCTTAAGTAGGTGTTTTCTTCACATTGTTAACAATTCAAACAGCACTAAGAAGGACATGGTAGTAAACACAGAATTACCAAACGACCCAGCAATTCCACTTCTGGGGGTACACCCCCAAGAATTGAAAGCAGAGACTCGAGAGCTGTTTGCACACCACACTCTTAGCAGCATTATTCACAGTCGCCAAAGATGTGTGACGCAAGTGCTCATCAACAGATGAATGGATACACAAATGTGTATCCAAAAGAATAGGATCCAGACATAAAAAAGAAGACAATTCTGGCACGTGCTACAACATGGAGGAAGCTTGAGGACATGATGTTTAGTGAAATAAGCCAGTCACAAAGAACAAACACTGGATGATTCTGCTCACATGAGGTGCTTGGAAGTCATTCACAGAAAGAGAGTAGAATGGGGCTGGGGGGCGGGGGGGATGGGGAGTTAGTGCTTAATGGGTATAGAGTTTCAGTTTGGGAAGATGAAGAGTCCTAGAGATGGATGGTGGTGAGTGTATTTAATGCCGCTGAACTGTACAGTTAAAAATGGTTAAGATGGTAAATTTTGTTGTGTGTGTTTTGCCGTAAGTTTTAAAAAGTACATGATAAAAAAGTCTAGATTTTCAAAGCAAAAGGTAGAATACTTAACCCTTACTTTTTCTCTCCCATGTAATTTACTTTGAAGGCCTTCTTTTGAGGGCTGCATAGCATCCCACAGTGTGGCTGTCCCAGCCCCTGACGGGCATGTGGGTGTCCCCAGTCCACTGCCCGTGCAGGCAGCGGTGAGGGGAGCCTCCCTGACATCCTTCCTTTGAAGCCTCGTGAGCCTGGATCACAGAGGGTCTCATTGGATCTGGCCCACTCTTGTCACTGGACCAGCACTGGGCCTGGCCCGCAGTGGCTGCTCAGTGAACGTCTGCCCTCCCTGGTCTGAACCTGGAAACCGGGGGAACTGTGGGTTTGGAGAGGAAGGGTCAGACATTCCAGCATCAAGTGGCTCTCTGAAAAGGATGGAAACCTTCCTGGCTCATATTCTTCCTTGGAGAGCGGTCAGGGGGGCTTGGCTCTATGGGATGGGGGGTGGGGTCTGCAGTCCCCAGAGCCAGGATGGTGCCACTCTGGGTGCTCCTCTGGTCTGACACTGCGTCCTCTGCACTCTGGATCCAGTGTCTACTCCCTCTGTGGGGACATCTTGGAGGCTTTAAAAGAAACAGCGTGCTCCTGCATCTTTTACTCCATCCTCACTCTCTCGGGTTCTGCTCCCTACTCTTCCAAGACCACAGCCCTCCTGCTGGCGCTACCGTCAGCATCTATGTGTCAACAGTGCGCACGTGGAGGCACCTCACATCAAAGGCTCAGAGGTAACGGACCAGTCACCTTTGCTGACTGCCCCTTCCTCATGGTGCTCCTCCAGGAAGGCCACCAGCCAGGTGCTGAGCAGCCAGTCGACTCTCAGACCTCACAGAGCACCTTGACATCCCTCGACCGTGTGTCTCTATCGATCTCAAAGACCCTCCTCTCTCCAGCCTCCCCTGCTTCTCCAAGTCTCCCATCTGATTTACAAGTTTCTTCTTGGATGACGGTGACCACTCCCCAGCCTTCTGTCCTGAATTAGCTGCCCAAGCGATCCTTCTGACCCTCCAGCCTTTGCTCTCCTGCTGAAATCCTTTGCTGGTGCTCCCACCTGGCTGTGGGGCACTTGCCGGGCAGCTCTGTGTTCTCACAGGAGCCCTGCGATGACCTGCACTCCCTTCAGGCATATTGTCCCCGTGTCTCTGCTGACGTAATCTCCTCTACCTTGGGTGTCTGATTCCTCTTTCAAAGCCCAGCATGGCACGGCCTCCTCTAGGAAGCCCTCCTTGACTGCACAGAGCAAATCTAATCCCTCTGCAATTTGGGGTCTGTGACACATCTTTCTCCCCCAAGTCTGAGTGTCCCCCACTGTGTCCTCAGGTCCAAGGAGTGTAGGGGAGGGAAGCATGTGACTCACAGCCTCCAGCTCCTGGTTCCGGGTCCGGAAACGCTCCCTCTGGCTGGAGATGATGGACAGCAGTGAGTCTACCTGGCCCTCGGGGAGGGTGCCGCTGGCTGGTGCCGTGGGTCCTAGGAAGTAGGGGAGAGTGGCTTGGGGTGGAAGGAGTCAGAGCCTAGTAGTGGGCCCTCAGGTTGGGTGGTCGCAGCCGCGAGGGAGCTCTGGCTGAGTGCCATGGGTAGAAGGCACAGGGTGTCTAAGCACAAGGTGATGAGAGGTCGGGGAAGGGTGGCCTGGGGGACGGGAAGGAGTATGACATGAGAATAGGGGCCCTGGGAGGGGAGGCCCTGCCACAATCTGAAGGCCAGGCCCCACCCCATTACTCTGTACTTGGATCCAAGACCCCTGCATCTGTCAGACTCCGGCTCCAGGGGAAGCGAAGGACCACTGATCTCGCCGGAAGCCAGGAGTATCCCCTCGCAGGTTCTGGCCTCCACACTGGAGGAGGCCACCTCTCCATCAGCGCTGGGAGCTCTCTGGCTGCATTTCCACGCCAAGGCCTCCCTGGGGAGCTGACCACCACCCACCAGCCCTCTACAGGCCACTGGCAGGGCCACAGGGGTCAAGACCTCCAGGGGGCATGTCAGATGAAGGCCTACAAGGGCAAGTGGGGAGCTCACCCCTCCTTAATGTTGCTGCTGCATTGTTGGGATGGGGGCCCTGACTTTCTTTGGGGGAGGGGGCATGCTCTTTGGAACCAGGGCTCTGGCCGCATCACTTCTTCTCCCTTCCCTGCTCCCCACTGGCCGATGGCTGCCCTGGGTGGTCAGGTCGGCCCCTCCTCACCATAGAACAGGGCGGTGGCCTCCTTGATGGGCTCTGGGATCTTCTCCAGGCCGTGCTCGGCTGCACCCTGCAGGTGAGAGGAGAGGTGGGGAGGTACTTCACATGCGGCATTGAACAGTCTTTCAAGTGCCAAGCAAATGGGGGGCAAGGAGCAGTGGGGTGGACTGGCGGCAGGGGCAGGTACACAGTGGCCACAGGAGGGCCGGGAGAGGCCACCTCTCATGGGCCACGAAAAAGAAGGCAGGGCCCCCGAGCTTACCCCAGAAGCTAGAGCAGGGCAGGGCTCTCACCTGGCCACTCAGCCCTCATGGCCAACAGTGGCTGGCGTCCCTGGTCCTGCCAGCCAGTCTGCTGTGTGCCCTGGGCCAGCCCGGCTTCTCCTGAGCCCCATTTCTTCATTTATAAAATGAGGGGGTCATGTGATCACCTCCAAGGGCCCTTGGGCTCCAGCCTCCCATGATCTTTGGGCCTCAGTCCTCTTGTGAGATGGGTGGGTAAATCCTGGCCTTGCTCCTGCCCAGAGCTCCCAGGGCAGAGGTCCACGCCAGTGCCTGAAGGGTGCTTGTGCCAGTTGGAGGAGGCCTGCCTCTGTCCGAATTGGGCCTCCAGGTGAAGTGAGCAGGCAAAACCCAGAGAGAGAGCCCTTAGTGGGTGGTGAGGGGGGAGGGAGTAGAGGGGGCTCACCTCGGCATCTGGCCGCTGGATGGACTGGATGGTGCTGAGATCCTGCTCCAGGCGGGCAATCAGCTCCCTCTGCTCAGTCACCATGGCCATGGCCTCGGTGACGTGGACCTGCAGCTCTGCACAGCGCCCTGTAGCCAAAGGAAGACACGGCCATCAGAGGGAGCCTGGTGGGACCCGGGGTGCCTGGCCCCTTCCTGCCGCTCCAACCACCAGGCCATAAGCAGGACTTCCTGGGGGCCACAGCGGAGTGCTGGCTGCTCCCTCCCCACCTTCTTCTGCCTGAAGGACTGCCATGGGAGCAGCCAGCAGGGTCAGGGGCACTCCTGGCCCAAGAACTCTCTGTGCTCATGAAACCCCCGGGTAAGGGAAGGAGTCCAGGTCCAGGACTTGGGAAACCCGGTCCACCCCGGCTCTGCCATGACCAGCTGGGTGAGCCTGGCCACCCCCTGCCTGTCAAGCAGGGCACGGAGGCTGAACACAAGGAGCCCCAAGTTTCTTCCAGGGCTGCTGCCCTGGGTCAGTGACCAGAAGAGGCCTCGGGGTAGCAGTGGTGGAGAAAGGTACTGGGGTGCAATGTGGGGTGGGAGGCCTCCTTCAGACCAAGTAAGGGCTGGGGGAGTGAGGGGCCCCACCTCTGGAGCTGACACCAGTAGCCCCTCACCCAATAGGTGGTGGGGATGGGGGTTGGGGGGACCCAGGAATCCCTGTCCCTTTCTCCTCCATCCAAGTGTACAGTGTCTTTCCCACCAGGCAAATCCATGTCCCTGCCCTTTTGGAAGGTGGGAGATGTGGGGGTGTTCTCCCAGCCCAGGCCCCGTGGGAGCCTTCAGCAGCCGCTGGCAGGGCAGACAGTGGGGCTTAGAAGCCAGGCAGACCCAAGTTTGAGTTCTGGCCCTACTTCTGCTTGACTGTGTGACTCTGGGCAGTTGAGCCACCTGGTCTGGGCCTCATCTGTAAAATGGTGACAACAAACCTCCCCAGAGAGGGAGGCCCAAGCCCTGAGGCACACGGTGCTCTCCTTTGGAAGGACTGCATGGCCACCAGGGGGCACTGTGGTCTCAGAAATGCCCAAAGGCCCCAGGCTATGCAATACCAGCAGGGCCCCTGTGCCTTCCAGGTGGACTCACCCTTTACTCTGAATCCTGCTGACCAGCTGGCCAACCCAGGCCAGGACAGGGGCAGGGGCAGTCGGCTTCACCCGCTCCACCCGCTTCATCTCCTAGGTGACCGCTGCATGCCAAACCCTTTACACACCTCACCACAGTCCGGGCAGTCAGAACAGATGAACGGAGGCTTCCCAGCCTGAGACCAACCCCCAGGGTGTCCACCATGGCTATGTCTAAGCCCTTCCCCACATGGAGGAAGGCCCAAAATGGTTCAGATCCTGAATAGATTTCTTCCTTTAGACACCACTGAGCACCTCCTTGTACCTGGCGGGTCAGTGGTGGTGGCGGAAGTGAGGGTCCAAGGTGGGGCTGGGGGAGGAGATTGGACCCGAGGGCAGGGCCAAGTTGAAGAGGGAGGCCTGTGGGTGGCAGGGTTGGGAGCGTATAGGTACTGGATGGCCTATGAGAGCTTTAAGCAAACCCCATGGGCAAGAGGCCCAGAGAGACCCCCAATGCCATGACCCACTGGCCTGGAGGTGGGGTCCTGTGGTCTCAGACCTGCAGGATGGGACTGAAGAGCAGCGTCACCTTGCTGCACCACACGTGCTTAGGAGGCGAGGTGGACAGAAGTTGTGGTGAGATGGGGGAGAGGAACTGTGAGAGGGAACGTTCTGGCCACGGGGAATCCATAAGGAGCCACATCAGGAGCACATCCAAGTAGGGTGTTGCAATGACCGTGGGGGTGGGTACACAGACCCCAGCACGAATGGAGGTGTGGAGCCCAGAGAAGGCTAGGTGAGGAGCATCCCATTTTCAGGGATGAGGGCCCGGGGGACAGATGAGACAGGGCAGAGGTGGGGAACCTGTGGAGCGGGGGACTGCTGCCCAGCAGAGCGAGCCCGCGTCCCTGGAGGTGTGCACGCAGCATGGTGCAGAGGGAAGCATGACGTGAGGGCTGGATAAAATGCCAGTGAGATGACTCCGGGGACTGCATATCTTGTCTGTCACCAGCCTGTGGCCATCCCAGCCTGGTCTCAGCCAGGACCCTGGGGGAGGAGCGACTTGCAGCCTCTGGAGGCATCTGTGTGCACGGGGGAGAGGTGGGGTCCCCAGGCAGGTGTTCCTGTGTATTTGTGTCTGTGCCTGCTGCTAAGGGGTTGGGCACACAGGTCCCTGCCCGAGCACACACGTGACGCTGTGAATGTGTGAGGGCCCTGACAGCAACCCTTCATCCCAGGCAGCCCCAGCCTGCGGCGCCAGGGGCTTTGTTAAACTGGCCTGGACAGCCTGCCACTGCTGCTGCTGCTGCTGCTGCTACAAACGCACCCAGACACTGGGTTAGCTGCTAAGTTGATCTCTGGGGGTGCAAGGCTGAGTGGAGAGGTGGCTGTGCATGAAACTGAGGGCTGGCTGGCATGCTCACAGCAGACATGGAGGATGGCTGCCCGTGAGCCCCAGGGAAGAGGCTGGGCAAGGCCGGGCAGTGCAGGTGATGGGATAAGACTGAATGAAGGCCCTAAGCAGGGGCACGGACCCAAGGCTGCAGGGCAAGACCTGGACATTGTCTGGGAGCCCCATGGATGCACCTGTCATTCTGCACTGGAGGGATGAGAAGGCCAGGAGCCTGACCACGTGGGTGTCCCTGAAGGAGGGGCGTGCCTCTTCCATGCCTGGAACTGGCCCCGACTCGGGGAATGGGTGAGCAGCAGCGTGGTTTGCTCTATTGAGTATGGCGTGCTAGTGAACAGCTAAGGGGACCTCTGTGTGGGAAGCTGGACCCCTGGGCCTGAGGGGGGAGATGCAGGCTGGCGAGAGCTCAGGGCCCAGGGCTGGCTGAGCCCCCAGCAGCAGATGTGGGAGCCCAGAGGGCACTGCGGTGAGAATGGCCAGGGCCTCCTGGAACGCTGACATTTTCAGAGGCGTCCTGGGAAAGACCCGGAGAAGAGGAAGCAGGAGGCAGGATGGACATCAGGAGAAAGTGTGTTAAGGCACCAAGCTGAACAGGGAGCATCAACGGGTAAGGAGGGATCACTGGTGTCGAAAGAAAGGCTGAGGGGGTGAGGGCTGGAGTGAACCACGGGGAGGGTCTGGTCAAACAGTAGTGCAGCGGGAAGCAGCAGGGGTGTGGCGGAGGGACCTGGGCACCACTCTGGACAGATGCCAGATGGGCAGCACGATGGGCAGACACTGTGTGAGGGGATGTGCTCAAGAGAGAGGGTATTCAGGAGTACAGAGCATGCAAAATCGAGTATCTGCATCTAGGGGAGATGCCTGCATCTAGGCGGGGCGACACACAGATGAGTGTGGGGGGGGGAGGGGGGGAGGGTGGAGAGAACTCCTGCCTCTGCAAGGTGGCAGAAGCCCCCTGTGAGATGGGCCCAAGGCAGCCTCCTACCCTCATGAAAGTTCATGAAACCACATCCTTCCGGGGGAATCTGAGGAGGCTTCCTAGAGCAGCGGTCGCCAACCTGTTGGACCTCACGGACCACCAGTGCTCTGCGGACCACGGGTTGGCGGCCGCTGTCCTAGAGAGTCCATTTCACAGAGGGGAGAAACAGCAAAGCAAGGTCAAGGTCAAAACTTAAGGAGGCTGAACTATGACTTAAGGTCAAGAACGATTTCTGACTGCACACTGATTAAATGTAGAACCTTATCACAACTGGAGTCGGATGGCAAGGCCTGGGAAGTTGTGTCTACCACTTTCTTTGCGGGGGGGTGTGGGGGACTCTGTTATTCAATCAGCCACCTGCAAGCCAGGTAGGCACTCTGGGGCTGCTAAAGGCACAAGTCTTTCTGCGTGGAGAGCTCTGAGGGGAGCGAGCAGCTCACACATCCACCCCCTCCCCGCCTCTGCACCTGTCTGTCCCCGGGTGGCCAGAGATGAGTGCTGAGCACTCCCTGTGCCAGCAGGTGCCAGCCCCTCACTCCTGTGCAAGGGCTCCCCATTCCGGCCAGTGAATTCCCTCTCCTGCAGCACCAGCTCTTGCTTCTCCTTTCCACAACTACAGAGCATGGTCCCCCATCTGATTCTCTCTCTCCTCTCCTCTTCATCCCCTCCCCCAACTCTCTCTCTCTTGACTTCACTGCCCCCTCCAGCTAGAAGAAGTCTTCTATTCTAAGTGTCCACTTTCCTAAACCTTTCCCATCAGACTCAGATACTCACTATGTCAACTGTCCTTACCAGCGTCACACATCTCTGTGCTCAGCCCTCGTCTTACTGACCCATCGGCACCTGGTTTCCAGGTCACTGCACCCTCCCGGCTTCCTGTCCTGCTGGCCGCCCCTCCTCAGTCTCCTTTGCTGGTTCTCCCCCTTGCTGAGCTGGGAACATGCTGTACCTGGCACCGCCCCTGCACACCGTTCTCTTTCCGCTCGTTCACCCTGGCCACCTGGGGTCCATTGGTAAGCTAATGATGCTCGATCTGTATCTCCAGGACACCCCTTTGCGAGGTGCATTCTCTACATAGATGTGCGACTCAAACCTAACGGGCACAAACTGGCCCTGGCATTGGGACTACACACGTGCCAGCACGAAGCCCCACGGTGACCTTGCACCTCGCTAATGTGACACCCGAGTCCTTCTAGATGCCGGGTGGAAAGAACAGCCTCACCTAGCGCTGGCTCACCTCCAGACTGGCTCTGTGTCTATCAGCATGGTCACCCGCTCCCCGCCCGCGCACCTTCCCCAGCACAGCCCTTGCTGTCGCTCTGACACTTGCCTCTGAGCATGTGCCGCCCCTCAATTTGGTATCCTGTCCTGGCCTGCTTACCCGAAGTGCCTCTTCCCGTCTCAAGGCCACTCCCTGTGAAGTCTGCCCTTTCCCAAGTTGCCACTCAGATGCCCCTCAGTACCAACGACAAGACCAGCCTCGGCTGTGGTTCAGCACCTGGTCTGTTTCCCCTTTGGGCTGTGAGCGACTTGAGGCCACTGGACACCTAGCTTGGAGCACGTCGCTGGCACACAGCAGTCCTCAGTGACTATCAATCCGCTCAAGGTACCAGTGAAGGAACTCCGCCACTCT